TACAAGCAAAACAAATGAACTATAATCCTGTATGTATTTAACATAATCCCCTGCAATTACTTCTGCACCCATCCCCTCTGATTGCCTGGGCTGGTTAGGAGGGATGGGGGCACTGCGTCTGTCCTGTCCCGGGGCTCCCGAAGCTCTGATTCATTGCTAGCCAAGTGGGGAGGGGAAGCTGCCCCGTCCCCTCCGTTCTCCCAGGGACTAGCCCTTTGGCCACCTTGTCAAGTTCTGCTCACCCTGTCCAGCTCTCACTTGTCTTCTTCGTTGAGTATTGTAGGGTTTCCTTTGGTTCAAATTTTCATGCCATGTTGATGGTTTAGCTTTTCTTCAGTGAAGTCCTGTGTTTGATTTTGCTTCAGTTCTTTATAAAATGAAGATGATGGTGTCTCACATTGAAACAGAGCAGTCCTTTAAGCAGTCTCTGTCCTGTATCTGACCAGTTGGAGACTGGCATCTCTCCTGATTCTTTTCCCCGAGGGATACAGGTTTTCCAGCTGTATTCACTACTGAGCCATGTAAGTCTTGTGCCTGATGCACAGCTGGGTTTGCTACTGCTGCTGCTCAACAGTGAGTGGGGTGGTGTGGAGTGGCAGCTACCTTTGGAAAGGTTGTTGTACAGGATGAGAAAATAGGCTGATTTGTACCAATTTAGACTGGGGAAAGAAGGCTATGGTGGGATTCTAAAACATGGCTTGGACTCTGGGGCTGCCGAGATCAAACTCTTCATTTAATTATTTATAAGGTACTGAAATAATTGGTACAATGCAACCAAAAATGTGTGACATTTTCTGTCATGGAGCCAGTAGGAAAGAAGAAAAACAGGTTTGTCTTTTTCCTTCTTTCCTTCTCTCTTTCTCTCATTCTAATAAATTTTTTTACTTTTGTTCCATATACTTTTGTCCAGAATGATTCTCTGAAAATACCTCCCTCTTTCTATGCCAGCACTCAGTCATAGATAACATGTCCCAAACATGACTGTTTTGGGACATTCTGTTTTGTTATAGTGGTGTTCAACCACTTGTGTCGTACAATGATAAGCATATTACAATAACTTAACATTTTTTCATTTTTCATTTATCTGTTTTCTGAAGTCTCTAAAGAGAGATTTGTAGAGACTACACTTTTTCATCTTCCATAAAACTGGGGGGAAAAAAATTAATGGGTAATAAACTAGGAAAGGCCTCTGCACTGATGTTTAATAGCTTGAGTCTACTGATTGCGGTTAAGCTTTCCCTAGATTAAATCTGAGGAAGTGTGAAGAGAAGCCAGCACAGTGAAGGGGCTGTATTTGAATGAATCTCAAATAATAAGCAAATCTGAATGTGGAAGCAAAAAGAGGGAGGAATAAAGGATGTGTCTGAAGCCATTAAAAAAACCCAAAACAATTTCTGGTTTGCAGCATTTGGAGACATTAGCTAAGTTTCATGCAATTCTCTGAGGTCTGTTCATGTCCTCTCAAGGTTCTGCAGTGTATTTTTTTGTAGCACTGAAGTTCCTCATAAGAAAATAATATGTCAGGGATCTATTCATGTCAGAGCTAATATTTATGTCAATTCTGGATTCCCAGATTCAAGAACATTAAATTAAGGCAATGTGCAACAATAGGAGATGTGCAGCTTTTCTTATCATGGTGATATATATATAGATATTTATATAAATATATAGATATTTATATATATATATATAAAATCTTGAGGAATATCATATTCTTCCAGGGAGGAAATCATTCATCTTAATGTCAGGAATTAGAGATACAAATGGAGATCCACAACAGAAGCGTGTAGAATGCAGAGGAAAAAAAGAGTCTCTGGAGGAGAGAAAAGCTTCCATTGTGCATGGAAGAGAAGCCATATTTAGGCTATTATGGGAACACTGAAGATTTATTAAATATGTTAATCATAGTATGGAAGAGCAGCTAAACATATGTTACATAGTTCCTGTGAGTGTTCATACTATTCACCAGTTCATTATTTGGACTAGTGAGTTAAACAGGCTCACCGGTGTTTGAGACAAGAGATGCTCTTGTAAAATCTTGTGTCTGCTAGGAGGTAACAAGAGCAAAGCCGCAAAAACCTGACATGATGGAAAAAAGGGGCTTTCTAGACTGGGTCATGAACAGTCTTGTCTTAGAGTGAGAAGTGACTGTTAGATGAGGCAGAGAAGGCTAACAGAAGGTCATGCTTTAGGGCAAAAATAAGATCTCAGGACTCAGAGTGTGGTGTGGTGGAACTGAAGGGAATTGCTCGGATCTCCGTGGTTCAAGATCCAGCAGTATCTGTGGTGTCAGCTGCATCCCCTGGGGCCAGTGTGTGTGTCTGACATCCCATTACTGTCTCCAGTAAATCAAATTAATTAAAATAATTTCTTTTCACTAATAAGTGCATTTTTTTGGTTGAAATGGATATTCCCTGGGTATAACAAAAAGGCAAAAGGAAGTTAAATTAGCCACATCATGCAGGATGTAGAAGTCTAAAAATCACACTATGCTGTAGTGCTCTCCATCAGAATAAAACTTTCTTATGCAATGAAGTCCAAATTTAGTTGTTATCATGACAATGTCCATGTGACAATTTATTTGAAGAGCTGTAATTTATATTTTCTAAGTGTTGACTCTCATTTAGAAGTAGATTTGAGAGTTGATGCTTTATTCCTGCAGGAATTCTTAGAATGGCATTATGTACATATGCACATAAAGGCTCTTCTTGGTTTCTGGGAACAATATGGAAAACGCCCTTTCCAAAATTCATTTCATGATCCTTCTGATCTCCTCTCTGACCAGGCTTTGTCAGTACATTAAAAAAAAATATTAAAATATGAAGACCTCAGCCATGAGAAATGTATACAAGCTACGAACAGTTTTCATAACACTGGCTATTGTTTTCAAAATATTGCCACTTGAATGCTTTTAGTTTAACTATCATGTAAGATTACTGAAGGAATTTGTTTTCTTGACAATGTTCAAGAAATAAATATGTAAATTTGTGAAACAAATACTCCCCAGCTGCCCAAGAATAACAGGATATGAAATCCCTCGCTTTGACTGGAAAAACAAGTGCTGCTGGAGATCTGACCTATTATCTACTGAAGTCAACAAAGAGCCTGCTGCTGACTTCAGATGCGAGGGCTTTGGATCAGCTCCTGAGAGCTGCCGCACGCACCCCGTGCAAACAAACAGCATTGTCTCCTCGGTTTGTACTCAGCAGATATTGGCACTTTGTTCTTGGAGTAAACAGCAAATTGCAAATCATACCTAGCCACTTAGCATTTTCAGTAAATCTCCGCCTGTGTTTTAGTGTAACAAAGCAACGTGATATCAGTCCCTCAAGAAGTTCTTTTGCCTTTCCTGCAGGATCTATAGTCCTGTGTGCATTTGAGACTATGGTTTAGTAGTGAGTGAATATATAGGCAGTATTCAGTCAAGCTGCAGTTACTTTGCACTCATTCTCAGCAAAAATAAAGAAGACCTGGTTTGGCCTGTGCTTCTCTTTAACACAAGGCACTCAGAAACACACAGGAGCCTGTTCAATGAGAGGAAAGAAGGCAGAGCATTTGCAATGTTTGTATTTCATAAAGCATAGCTTTTAAATGGCTGTTACTTGCCATGACTGTTGCAGTTTAAACTCCAACCCATAGGTTCAGCTGTGAGAGAGAGAAAAGGGCGGATTTTAGATCTGTATCAGGATAGGCAGACGCCCTGAAAATAAATCCTTTAAAAAGTAATAAAAACCCCCTGATCTGTATTAGCGTCTTGGAACTGTTACAATTTGTACTAACATAAATCTGGATTAACTGTCACTGAGGCCAGAATTTGGCCCCAAAATGGCAAATCTAGAGGATAATCACTCTAGGCTGCTGCTACTTATTTTCTGCTCTGCCTGTCCCTTTCTCTTCTACCTCTATATACACATAAACACACCTACTCTCTCTCTCTTTCTGTCTTGTTCTTCTTGCTGCTGCTTCTTCCTCTTGTCTTTAGGGAGCTGTAAAGAGCTGTTATAGGCATCCTCACAACAGTGTTGTTGCTTAGGCACTTTGAGCCCATACCCAATCCCTTCTGCAGTAAATGATTCTGTAAGATTAACATGGAAAACCTTTGAAGGAAGCTTGAAATGGAGTACTACTCCATCATGAGATGGGTCAAGGAAAACTGTATAGACCTACATCAACATATGCATATCAGCTTATGACATGCCAAGTATGACATATGCACCAGTGCTGGTTAGTAAGAGTACTTGGTGCCAGAATTATTTCAAAGAAACCTGGCTCCATCAATTGCTGATATTCCAGACACCTTTACCATTCTTTTGGGTATTAAGAACAGGTTCTTTCTGGGCCAGAGGATGACATGAAGAGGAGATGTATGTCCAGAACTAAAAAAGACTCAGTTTTTGAGAAATGTTTTGAGAAGCATCATTCAGATAGTTGGTTTTTTTTTTAAATCTGCTTGATAGTGCCTGTTTGAATGTACAGTTAGCTACACTAGTTAGCATGCTTATACTTTTGTATTCATGAGTATTTATCCTCTGCATGGACAGGGAGGAGAAAAACAGAGAGACAAAAGATAGTAAGCAATTCTCCTCCTATAAAAACAAACACAGTTTGCCTTTTCTTTATTCTCCAATGTGAAGGAGGCTGTCAGATCCTCTGTTCGCAATTTAACAGGAGGTCACCATCCCAGCTGGATCCTGTTTTTCCACAACATTCTCAGCCTACTTTGATGACTACGCAAAGATCTGTTTATGTGAGCATCCAAGGAGCAAACAACAATGGGAGAAGGTGAGCCCAGGTAGCTGGCTGAAGACAGGATCCCATTTTATTCCTTGCCCCAAGGCATTCCAAAACCTTTGTGCAACTAAGCATAGCAGCAGCTGCATTGTATCAAAAGAGATTCCAGAAATTATAACACAGCTCAATACTGTAAAAAAAAATTCTTTATTGTGGTTAAAATATGTATATTTTCATAGAATATCTGTAATATTGCATCCAAAGGTTTATTTTTTGAAAAATCAGCAATATTATCTTCATGAGATATAACCATGACATATAATACAACCCCTTCATAGAATAGGATTTTCCTTCGGTTTCTTTCCTTACAACTCACTGCTTACACAAAAAAAATCACTGACCACTTTCTGCCTATACTTGAGAAGCTTAGGCTCATGAGCACATCTCACATCTTTCTGCCATTTTGGTCTCTCCTCCATTCCCTTGCCACCTGAGTTTCTGGTATAGCAGTAAAAGTAAGGATTCAGTAATCCTTGGCCTGTACACTTTGAACATTAGGGTTCCTGTACGCAAACAAAACAAATCTTACTCAACTATCTCTAAGGTATGAACATAGGTCTCTTTTGGATTAGATATTAATGGAGGATAAACTAGTACTGGGAGGAAGAGAGCTGTTCCTCAGCCAGCATCCATCCTGCACTCATTCTCTGGGTGCTGGTGGCTTCTGAGGGGGGAAGCAGGGTGTGTGTTCATGCATGTGTGCATGTGGGTCTGTGTGGGTGTGTGTAGGTGCATGTAGACCTGAGTCCCAATGGGCAGGATAGGGAAGAAGAGCAGATGCCATCTAACGCCAATGGTTACTCTGGTTCTGCCCAGCCCTGGGGAAGATTTGGAACGACAGAGGAGGGACATGGAGCACCACTTATTTTTCTCATACCCTTAGGAATGGAGGGTGAATAGGCAAGGGGGAATGTACTGAGCAAAAGAGGGCCTGCACCTGTGTGAAAGCATGCCTGGGGTGCAGGAACAAAATGGCCTCATTTGATTTGTATTTTAATGCTTGTATTTGATGCTTGTCATTGGGGTGGCTTTATTTTACTCAGGGCCTGGCCAAGTTTTTCACTTTTTCTCTCACTCTCCAGATAAAGGAGGCTCAGGACTTCAGTTTGATATGCCTTCATAATGTTTTTTTTTCTTCTTTTTGATAATACAGGTTAGTCTAATTATACAGCAGACTTATTGATAATGTAATTTGACTGTTCTGAGTATTGGGGATTCCTCTCCCAGCCCTGTCGAATTCGCGTGAGAGGTTTGTCTAGACAAGGAAATATCAGCACAAATTTGACAACCAGTACAATGCATGGAACAATGAGAGAGAGCATATAGGCGTTTGGAAGATACCATCTGTATGATGATGGGCTCAGGAACCGGTTTCCACCGTAAACCAGTGTGTGTGCAGTGCACAAAATCAGTGTCAGATATCCCAGTTTGGACTAGGGGAGAACAAAGCAAAGAAAGAAAGGGACATTAAAACAGTAAATTAAACCAGAACAAATGCAATCTACAGGACACGGTAAGCTTTGTGGAATGTGCAAACTTTGGGGCTAATTGGGGACTGCTGAAATGAAACTGTTTCATATAATATAAAGTCTCTTATTGTTTTTTAATAAAGATTCATTCAAATGGATCTAGGTGAAACACACTTTTTTTTTTTTCTTCCTCCATCAACAATCCTGATAATTTTTGCTAGCTCACACATACTGCCTACTGGTTGTCGTATTTGTGAAAATGCAGAGGAAATGCTGAAATTCAGTGGAGAGATCCAAGCTTTTATATGCTCTAGTGCTAGTCCATCCAGAACGACCATACTGTGCAAGTTTTTGGCCTTGATAAAACATTCATTGACAGTAATTTCCCCTTCCCTTGCTTCCCTGCCCCTGCCAGCCCAGCTCCTGCAGAGGCACGGCAGCTTGCACCAAGCTTCCTCTGAACAGGGGGCTGAGATTATAGTGTTACCAAGGGCAGCCTGCTTATAGGCACAGCAGTTTTTAGAGTCTGCAGAAACTGCAGATTCTCTTTAGATGCTTGGCATCAAGAGTATCTGAGTTATAAAGTCATTTTTCAGACCGATTTTAACTGAATTATCTTGTGAACCAACAAAATTAGCCCAATAAATGGCTAAAATATTTTGTGACTTAGTATTTGTGGAATTTGATAATTCCACAATGTCAGCTTTCTGTTTGTTATTTAGGAGCTCATGTCTTCCCAATTTTCTCTTGTTAATGCAGTAATCCCAGTTGTACCATAATCAGCCATCAGAGCAGTTGTGTTTTTTTACAGGTGAGCTGTATAGCCATGTAGATTCTTTTTTCACTGTGTGATGGTGGATAGTGCACACATCACATTCGGAGATACTAATGGAGGAAAGCCCTAAGTCTCTAGTAGACCTGTCTCTGGTCATAGTTTATAAGGCAAGAAGGTGTTTTAGAATAAGTCTTTTTCTTACCTGTACAAATCGAAATTCTCGCCAGTTGACATTGTTGCTGATTGAAGGCAAGGAAGTTATTCCCAGAAGAACAAATAAAAAAAATCCTAAAATCCCCAAAGCCAAATAAGAGTCACTAAGCCAGGCATTTGTGGTGTTGAGTGGTTCTGTTTTATTGTTCAGTGCCTGAAGAAAAGAAGACCAGGTATATCTCAGTGATAGCAGTTTTAGGATGAATATGCAGAAAATATCCTTTAAGGTAACTAGGAGATAAATGTTATACATTAACTCTCTGAAAATCATCAGAGATTTACTTTGAATGCCTACTCAAAAACCAAAAAAGACATTATATGACATATAGGTTCCATGTACCTATAATCGTGGTGCGTGTTTTATGCTGCTGTAGACCTACTGTTGAGGACAGGTATGTGATCCTTTGTTAAATAAGGTCAGAAAGTCAAACTATGTCCCATTCTAAAGGTACATGGTGAAATAGGGAAATATGTTTCTTTAAATTACTCTTGATGTTTAAATTTTCCCTGTTTATTTTATTAATATATAAACTATCTAGGAGGAAGACTGAGGCCACAAATCCCCTCAACTCAACATAATGTCCACAAACATTGGATATACCACTGGTTAAAAGGAACACAGAAACTGGGAAAACAACCCTATTGTAAAGAACATTAGAATGTCCACATACATTTCTGAAGCTCGAGGTAGAAGGTAGTATTTGTAACAGGGACAGAAGAAAGGAAGACATAGAGCAGGGAACAAAACCTACCTGGGAGACGATTCGGCTGCTGATTCTCCATCTTACGAAGAAGCGAATTGGGATAATAAGAGTGTACAAAACATGCAGAGAAGCAAATGCCAAGGCTACTAGTCCAAGTTGTTTCCTACACAGCATCCATTTGTCCAGCCAGTCTGGGAAACGGCGGTATTTGGTACCTCTGTATAACTGAATAATTGCAGCAAGTACACCAGGAAGATAAACCAAGGCAAGAAGGATGAGTGCCAATATAGGGCAGATCCGATTTGGAATGGAAATTGCAATAAAAAATGAAAAGTCTTTGTTTTCATAAACATAAGGGTAAATTACATCACGAGCCAAACAGTAGAAGAAGAAGAATGCAGTTAAGCCAAGGGACAAAAGGATGGGAAACTTCCACATTGGAAAGAGCTGCAGAGGGTAATTTTCTATTTCCTGAGCAGCCAAGAGGGATCCCCGATCTACTGGAGTGAGACCCAGTGCACGAACAATGGCCATCACCATGTGTTTAGCTTCCATGTCGTCTCCACAGACAAACACCTGCAGCCAAAACCAAACAGAAGTTTTATTTAGACAGACTTTTGTGACATTCTCTACTGCCATCCTGCCTGGGTATGGATGATGAGCACAAGCTTTCCAGGCTATTTGTTGGCTTCTCTGTTGTCCTTAATTTATATAGGCAAAAAGTAGCCTATAGGTACTTTCTTGGCCAACAAACACAAGAACTAAGAATATGAATCTTTTCTTTGGGGAAGGAGATGATTGTTTCAAGTGGCAAAATTTTGTATCTGAAAAGAACAATATGTAACACACTTAGTTCAAGTCTTTGCCTAGAACACTTGACATACTCTTCTGAAGACCTGCAAGCAGTTTGTAAGCACAAGGTTTTATAGTAGTAAATAGGAGCAAAATTTTCAATAGGAGTATAGAGGAGCAAAATTTTCAATTTTTCTTTCTAAGTCTAGGAAAATAGTGAAGAAACAGCCTTTTCTGTGAGTGGTCAAGACAATACTTCTTTTGGACCTGGGAGAAAGGGGGCAATATCTGCTCTGTTCGATATGATGAAGGCTTGTAGAACCTAGGCTTGGAAGTCCTTGGGTCCTTAGTTTAGCCAAAACCATTTATCTGGCAGCAGAAAGCAAAGCTAGCAATGGTTGGAGTAGCTGGCTGATTTTGTGCATTGTACAAGAGCACTGTTCCTCAGAGAGGCAGAAAACAGGGTAGCAATAAATGATTTGTCTTCAAGTAAGCTGCTGTGTTGCTTCGTAGGACCAGCTCTGTGCTCGCTGACCTGTGTTTAAGGAGCTGGTTAAAATGGTTTGTACACACTGTTGTGTTAAACTTCTGTGGTGATGGATTCTGATTTAGAAAACTTTATTAATTTATTCACCTTCCAGCTCACTTCTGCTGCCCATACTCATTCTATTGCCCCATCATATCCCTTGACTCCCTTTTTTTGCTCTCTTCATTTTATTCTTGCTTTGATATATTCCTCCTATTTCCTTTCTGTTTAACTTTACAATCCCAAGGAACAACTGATGCAACCCTCATTTCCTCCTGATTTGCCATCTCTCTCTTTGTAGCTCTGCTATCTTTCTTTCCTTGCTTCTCTAGTGTCCCCAAACACCTTACCAAGTTTGGAGGCAAGGTATTGATATTCCTTGTCATGCCAAAAGTAAATTTTAGCTCACATTTAATTTGAAATGGGCAATTATAGTGAAAATACCATCTCAACCCTGTCTGATTTGTGTGTCCTGTGTGTGTTTTGTCTAGCTGTTAAGAAGCCATACGATATATAATTCTATGACATAGAGTTGCTCAGTCTTACCTGCCGGCTTGCATCCAATGTGCCTGACTGCAAGGCCCAGGCTGACACGGTGTTAAAGGCTTTCACAACCTTAGCGCCAGGCACCAGCTGAGCGAGGTACTCTGCATTGGATTCAGGATACTGGTTTATTTTTACGTTGTTGCTTACATCCACCAAGACTTTCCCACGCAGAATTTCTGCTAGTGGTATAAGGAAGTCGTAATGTTGCCTCTGGATTGCGATAATGATGATGGCAGCTTTCTGTGCTGCCTCTGCATGGCTGAACACCTCTGCACCCTTGGGAATCAGGCTGGATGTCTGTGTGCTCCGGCTTCCAAACACGACAGGGTAACCAGACTGAATCATTTTATGCCCCAGAGCTCTTCCAAAATCTCCAGTTCCAAATATGCACACTGTCTCTCTTTTGCTAGAAGTGTTAGGAGCCAAAGCCATTGTGTTGGAAGAATTTTTATTCATCTGTTAAAAAAAAAAAAGTAATATGAACAAACTAAGCAAAACATCAATTTCTTGAAAATGAAAGGTTAGCATCCACTCTGGCTATACAAAATAAATATCTGAGAGTTTTCTTGCCTCTTAATATGCTTCCTGCACACTCTTCTGAATGGACACTCTCAGAAGACTTCTGTACAGTTTTTAAAAAACAGTTCTGGGTATTCACCTCTCCATCTCTTATGGCACCCTCTTTTCCATCCATTTTATGGATTTTAATATTCAGCTGAACTGTTGCAGTTTTCCTCTCTCAAAGGGAAAACAGGAGCAAAAGATACAGGAGCACAGAGAGCAAGGGTTGCACACGTTTCAGAGTAATTTCTGCTTACTTATGCTACAGAAAAAACATTGAAGAGGAGTGTGTTTCTAATCAAATTAGAACCTGGAAGATCTTTTGTAAAATACTTGCGTCACGTCCCAATTTCTCAGGACGACGACTCAGGTTTGCTGATTCCCAGGTCAGGACTAAGGTGAAACAACACCAGGGATCTTTTATCTCACAAAACTCAAATTTATTCACTCACAACAAGAATTGGCATGCTCACCACAAAAATTGGTATGCTCACAACAAAACCTGGCATGAAACTATGTCAGTAAACTGTGTAACATGTGCTAACCATATATCACCAAACACATACTACAGGCCTTGCTTATTTGGGGATCAGTTCAGGGAAGACAATAAGGAGAGCACACCCATTGAGTCACGAGGTTCAGAGCAGACCCCCTTGCTTTCTAGACTCCTTCTCAGTGAGGAGCCCAGGGGCGGCTGGACCCACTCCTAGTCCCAGACTTGGTCAACGGTTTATGTCTGAAGGGATGAGTTGTAGGCATTATCAAAAAGAGAGAGAGAGAGAGAAGAGAAAGATTTCACTGGTCCTGAGTCCAGCATTGGTTCAGTCAGCCGAGGGGTCCAGTTCCAGTGGGATTGCGCACGTGGGCTTCAGTTTGTGTCCTTTTATCATCCTTGCCCCTCCTTCGGGTGGGCACTCAAACTCATTAGGCTAGTTAAGTGTCATGAGCAGTGTGTGACCCTTTGGGAAATGGGTCCGTGGTCTTGGGGGTTGTTTGGGGAGTAACTTCCCCTTCCCTGCAGATGCGATCTTTCACTGTGCATGGTGAGCTTCTCTGCTCAGCACATCAGAACAGCACAACAGAACACGGAGCTGTGCACCCTCCAGCACACTCTCCCTGTCTGGTTGCTGATGGGTGCTGATTGGCTTCTTTTCACCTGTGGTTCCTTGCTATGCAGGTTCATCCTTAAGCAGAACTTGTCCCATCATGATATTTGAGACATTAACTCTTTCAGTCTCTCACAACTTGAAGAAGAGATATTATGAAAGGTAGCTACGAACCTATCTGTTGTCCTCAGCATTTCCTTAATACGACTAGTCAGTGCCAGTTTATTATTGTTCTTCAATTTCCTGAAGAATATCCTGTGAAGCATTTGGACAGTGGAATTGGAATATTTAATGTTGAACATTTATTTTTTATATTTATATATTACTCATAATAAAATTCTCTTTGAGGTTTTTATCTATCCTCCTTTATCTCTGTACCTAGAAGCTTCAAAGTCTTTAATGTATTATCCATGCCATAGCAGTACGTACGCTCTGTACTAGCACAGTGAGACCCATGATACAAATACAGAATAAAAAAGGTCTGCTCCAAAGTTCTTGCAGTAGGTCCACATGCTGTTGTCCTCACTTTACAAAAGGTGAACTCAGACCAGAAAACCTAAGGCCCGAAGGAAGACCTCCAACAGGAGATCTTGAGAGATTCTCTTGGATTTACCAGCAATTTAGTACTTAGAGCAGCCATTTAATTTGCAGGAGCCCTGATTAAAGTCTTTCACTGCATCACAGATAACTGTCTTAATTAAAGCTGTGGGAATAACTGATTTTGCAATTTTCAGGAAAAAAATGCTTGAAATGGTTAGCTAGACCTAAAACAATTGCATTGCTACTGCTGTTTATTAATCCTTTGCTTACATTCTTCTGTGAAGCACTGTTCAGAATGAAACTCTGCCATTTAAAAATACTGAGATGATGTTCTTCACTTTCTTTCATATTTTTCTCTAGCCAGAACAGTTTTCCATTTTAAAAATCTGGCATGATTTAAAATTGTTTGACCCAAAACTTGCATTTGTTTGGTGAGTAAAAAAATCAAGCCTGAACCTCCCCCTACACTGCGGTGGCCTGGAGTTAAGGGCCGTGAGTTGGGGATGCAGACATCTTTTTGGCCTGTGCTGGAGGCTGTAAGCTTCATGAGCAACATAGGCAGAGAAATGCATATTCTGAGAATCATATGTGAAGATTTTGGCTTGAACTAGCTGTATGTGTAGCTAGCTAGCCCTTAGTTGGCATCAGTGCCTGCTCAGCACTGTTCTTGCAATGAGCTGTGGGAGCCCTGGGATTTAGAAAGCTGCCAAGGGAGTTTGCTTCTGGTCATTGGGGGAAAGCATCGATTCAGGCAGAGAAGGACCCAAGGATCTGTGTGCTCGTGGCCTGTGTGGCTGGTGCAGGTCCCACGGGAGGCTTTGCAGCACAGCAGGGTGTTAACCCCAGCTCTCCTGAAGCTGCAGTCCCAGCTACCCAGCTGGAGTCTGTGTACTTTGTCAAGTAACAAGCTAAGCATGAAAATAGATCCTCAAAGGGACCCATCTGAGTGTCTCTTGCATATTTGTGTGCTCTGACACATGCATACAAATGCAAAGTCCTTTGACATATTTAAAAATAATTCTCTGAGAGCTTCATTAATGTCCCATGAGGCTCTAATGTGACTAAAGATATAAAATCCCTTTTTGGGGATAGCCTGTATTTCAAAAAGAACAGAAGAGTTGCGTATGTAATATTAATAAATGGTCCAACTCAGTACCTAATAAGACTCAGCTTTCCTTTCTTAATTTTGCCTTTTAACGAAGTAGGCTCCCATCCAAAATGAAAAGTAAAACTTAGTTGTAACACCTGATCGTCCAGTTGAAAACTTCTGTATCTGTCCTCAGGAAATCATTAAGTTATTGCTGAGTGAACTATGCAAGTTATCCTATTCTCCAAAGTAAGACTGGAAAAAAACAAAACTCGGATGTTATCAGATAATACATTTGGTAGATCAGTTAAAGTTATGTTTTGTTTGAGCTTATAAAAATATTTAATATAGAAATGGATCCACCAGCAAGAAATATATCTATAAAGTGCTTCCATTGTTCACTAATACTGAACATCTCATTTGCTAGTGAACACTGAACTCATCTTGCCAGAAAAGAGAAAAAGAGGGAGATGAAAAGAAAAATTAAGGTAAGGAACATTCTGTTTTTCAAAATACAGTTTCTTGGAATACTATCTAAGATGTAAAGGGACTTGTACAAGGCAGTGAGTATTATTCCATAGAAAGCTGAAGAGAGTTAAAGCTGCCTTTAATACTGGTGGTCTAATTTAGCTTAATACTATTTTTAACAAGAGAGACAATTTGCTTGAATAAATTAAGCAGAGTTTACCTTTTCTTTTTAAGAATTACTTAATAGGGATGCCCATAGCTGTTATGATGGTACACATTATATATTAGAAATAAACTGGTCACCAATGAATTTAATAACAAGTTAAAAATATATTGTAAAACTGATATTAATTTAACAGTACACCTGCTACTTCTGAAAATCACATGTAAGACAAGGCAAGTTTGCTTTTAAATTCCAGGCCTTCCGGACCATGCCTCCTTCTAACACAGACAGAAATTAAATTAATTTTCTCCATTGAACCCTTTTTTTCCTTCCTTCCAACATGACTTTGTGCCAGCTGGCTGTTGTTGAACTAAGAGAAGTTTGTGGGCTTTGCAGTGAACTTCTGGAGGTTAATTCAGGTGGTAAGTTATGAGTACATAGCCAGTGCATAGATAAATTCAGGCTTTGCTGTGTGTATTTGAAGAAAATGCAGCCTCTGATGGCAACTCAGTGGGTGTAAAGTCAAAACAAGGAAAATGGCCTCCCAGAGTCCATGACAGCGATAGTTGCAATGCAAAAAGATACTCGTGTTCTATAGGACAAGGTATTTTATAGTCATACATCAGTGTGAAAGATGAGAAGCAGAAGTACATCACAAAGGGACACAGGGCCAGTCTGGTGCCTGGGAGCTCAGCCCAAAGGCTGACACTGGGGTTTCAGTAAGCAGCTGATGGCAGTGGGGGTCTGCTCTATGCCCATGGGTTATGCTGAGCGCTCTCAAAGCGCCAGAGGAAAGCAGAAATACTAGCAAAGAAACATGTAGTCATCATTATCTGTTCTTTTATATATGTAGTCATATATTATCTGAAAAAAAAGCCATAGAGATTTGTATCCATACATATTATTTTTACCTATATCCATCCCTCTAACATTAGAGCACTAGTGATGCCTTTTGTTATTTGAAAGATAATCCATGTAAGCTTCTGTAGTGATTAACTGTGTCCTTTCTCTTCTGCATTGTCGCTGTATTCTTATACACTGAATTATCCTATTTCAAGGAAAATGGTGGTAATCTCTGAGTTTACTTGTTCAGTAATGATAAAAGGAGCCGCTGAAAGAAAAAAAGAAGCTAAATGCAAAACTTGTTTCTACCCACTGCAAAAACACTAGGGGAACTGAATGAAGGTACAATGTTTAGTTCAGCAGTTATATGTAAATAATTTGGTTATGTACGAATTTGAATGAAGACAGGCATATTGCTTTGCACATGGGAAAAAGGAGGGATTTCCTAGCAAAAGCAATGCCACAGATGAAGTACAGTGCCAAAACTGGAAAGGCAGAGATGGGACTGAGACATAGACTGGGATGGATAATGGAAGGATCAGAAGGATGTAACATGAAATAGCAGATGGGAGGTCAATGGAATGATTCAAAATGTAGAAAGACAAGATGAAAGGAGCAGGAAAGAGTAATTTTACTATTTACATTTAAAAAAGAAACAAGGCAAGTAAGTCTGGTAGTGATTTCAAGA